TCCTCCTGTACAACTCCGCCAAAATCGCATCTCATGTATTCGGTTTTAGTTCTGCTCAATCTAAACCCTTTAGACTCTGCAGCCATAACTCTAGTTCCTATTTACTCCCGCCTGGCTTTCGTCCACTAACACTACATCATCAACGAACAACATACACCAAGGGATATCCCCTTCTATGTTCCTGGTAACCTCATCCATTACCAAGACAGAGATACGGGCTTAAGGCTGACCCTTGATGAAGTCCAATTTTAATCGGGAAGTAATCTGTGTTACCATCGATTGTTCGAACACTAGTCATAACATTGTTGTACATGTCCTTGATGAGGGTCACGTACTTTGATTGGACTTTATGTTTGTCCAAAGACCACCACATAACATTTCTTGATATCTTGTCATAAGCCTTCTCCAAGTCAATGAAAACCAATTGGAGGTCCTTCTGCTCTCTAAACCGTTCCATAACCTATCTTATTAAGAAGATTGCTTCTGTGGTTGAACTTCCGAGCATGAAACCAAATTGGTTTGTTGATATCTGCGTCGTTCCTCGCAAGCGTTGCTCGATGACTCTCTCCCATAACTTCATAGTGTGGCTCATCAACTTAATTCCCCGATAATTAGTACAACTTTAGATATCTCCCTTGTTCTTATAGATTGGTACCAATATGCTTCTTCTCCACTCCTCAGGCATCTTGTTCGATCGAAAGATATTGTTGAACATCTTGGTTAGCGATTTTACTGAAGTACGTGAGAATTACTACAGATATTTTTCCTCAAACGCAAAATTGCTATGGTTTGCAGAAATCTATAGAAACTAAGTAGTCCAAAAAGGCAGCTTTTGTCGATTAGAAGTCACAGCAGCACAAATCTAACTGAAAAACGTGCTAGTCTAGTAAATTTTCAGCTGGAAAATGGTTAGTAACCAAAGGGATAACAAAATCAAGCAACAAATGATGCAACAATTCAAGGTTATGTAGAACAAAGGAAAGAATGATCAGCAAAAGGCACATCAAAATGCACCACAAAAACAAGTGTCATGCAACCACATTTTGCTTGACTTATTCATGTAGCAAACCAAGACTATCCCATTTGGTATAGATTCAGGTGCTTTTAGAACCCCCATGGTTACCCATCCCCATCCAAAAAGAAAAAAAGATACTCATGGTGCTAAAATTATCCCCAAATGCTTTCAGAAGACTCTTCAACTCCATATATGGAGTATCGTACTAGTTAAGGCTCAATTAAAAGATTGAGGCAAATTGCATGACTGCTAACTGGAAGCTACCAGAACATTACACTGAAAGATTCCTTAAAAACAATTGTGCTATCATTATTTTTTATAACAAAAACATCGTTTCCTGCACTGCCTGATATCTCCTATCAGATTCTTCCTGATTCTGTCCTGGCCAGGCAACCTGGAACAGACAGGAATCCAGCCCTAGGTGTCCGAAATCCAACGCCTAGATTTTCCGCCTGGACCAGGGAGAATGGCCAGGGTCAGTACAAAACAGGCCCAAAGTTCCCATGTAATCCATTATTTTGAACGGCTTGGCTACTTGCCCTACATGTAATATCTTTTGTTTCTTTTTCAGCATTCAATAAATACTAGATGCCCTGCATATAATACCCCAGGTGTAACACCCATAATGAAGAGCAAGGTGCCCAATGCTTTAACTGACAAGGGGCTAACCACCCATGCGACTCAGGTGGAAGACGTGTGTATATGTTCCAAGAGTCTGGACGGCGAGAGTAAGAAAAAAAATAGAGAAATTAAAGAAACAGAACAGACAGGAAAGGAAGGTTTCTTCCTCGTGTTATCTAGATCATCTAGCCTCTAATTTCCTCCTCTTCTTCTTTTGCTACTCGTATCGTTAGTTTGATCTCAACAGCGACCATGGGTGTGACAGGTGGTATCAGAGGCTCGTCTTCCTTGATGTGGTCAATTGGGCAGCGACTCCTTTCTGGTGTGGCGACAAGCAGTCCGTCACAGATTCCTTCAGCCTTGATTTGTGTATCACTCGGCAGTCGGTTGATTTATGGTTTGCCCTCCATTCGAGTGCATTCCTGCATTCCTCTAATTCTGTGTCTGCGATTGTTTCGGCCTGAGGGTGATTGGATTTATGGTCGTGTTTGGATTTGGATCAGAGAAAGATGGACAAAGCACAACTCCACACAAGGCCTAATCTAGACAGGCATGAAAATCTGAATGTTCTCGAGAGGAAGAACTGCTCACATTATGCAAGCTGTAGAAATGATATATCCTAGATAAAGAGGGAAGTGTGGAAGTATCAATAGATTTCCCATGCTGTGAAGAGGGACTTGTAAGTTTCGGACCTCACCAATGGCATATAGTTAGAATTTGCCGAACAGGGCAAGCCAAAGTGGCGACACGTGACAAATGAAAGAAGAGTACAACCAAATGGCTTAGCTACACAGAAACCAAGAAAATACGGATTTGGCAGGTAGGTCAAAATGTCCCTATATGGGATGCGATCCAATATTATGATTAACAAATTGCTTTGGGTATCATAAATTGTTGCATGCTTTCCATCTTAACTCCTTGTGAAACTGATACATGAGATAAGATTTAAGCTTTAGCAGGCTTTGTATTTGAACTTCCATGGGGTGGGTGGGTGGGTGTGTTGGGCCCTCGGGGGGAGGGGAGTTGACAAAGAACAAGGAGTTAGCTAGGTGCTTTCTATCTTAATGCCTTGCAAATCTGGTACACAAGATGAGATTAAGGGCCTGTTTGGCAAGGCTCCGGCTCTGACTCCTCTGGAGAAGTGGCTTCTTTGGTGGAGTTGAAGCACTTTGGAAAATGTTTGGCAAAACAGCTCCTGTATTTTCAGGAATGAATAGAATATATATATCTGATGTCCATGTTGCCCCTAGCTATTACTCTTTATATGAACTTGATTTTCTCTATTTTTTCATTTGCTTTTTTACTGTATAATTCATAAGAAAAAGGCATTATTATATTACTGTAAATTCTCGACTTGGTTTGAACTTGTGCGTGGTGGCCGGAGGTCCAAGTATGTATACATGTATTGCTCCGAATTTCTTCTTTTATTTTTCTAAGGGAAAGGTGTGGTCATGACATCACCTGATCCTCACGCCATGCTCTGCATCCACAGATGTGGGATACTACGAGCAAGCGCCAGTCGAGGTCACACCGCCAAGACCATGCTCATGCCTGTCACGGCCAAGCCTTGCAAGACCATCCCATCATAGCTTTCAATGTGGCGGCACTAGGTCCATCCATCGCCTCCAGGCTGGCCAACCTCCACCTAGTCGTTGGCCTCTACAAGGTTCTACTCGGGGTGCATGCGTGAGCAACAGGAGTCCACCAGAGAGGAGAGGTTCGCGCGCGACACAGGAGGGCACGGGAATCCTTTGCTTGTGCGACCCTCGACAGAGCGAAGTGAAGCCACAATTTTGGGCTCCATCGGTCCTTCACAAAAAAAATGGCTCTGCCTTCACCCTGCTTCGCCCGTGAAGCACTTTTGCAAGAGACCACTTGGTAGAGTTTCAACTTTCAACAGGAGCTAGAGTAGAAGCCCTTTATGGTGCGCTCCCATAGGGGCTCTAAACTTTAGTGGACATTGTATTAGAACGTCAATTTAGGGGGATAAAGAAAAGTAATAGTAAATGCAGTTAATAGAGGGCATGGATTTTGCACCTCATGGGATTTCGAACACTGTATTCAGGTGGATTTTTTTGTTATTTTGGTATAGATATTCTATTTGATTGGTAATGCTTGCTTCTATCACGGATACTACTAGTTGCCTGAAAGTGTAGGAAGCATAGAGCAAACCAAAACTATATAACTAGAACACTTATCCAATAAATAAAATAGGGAATCAATTGGCACTGATCTCATTCTCCACCACAGCCAACCCCACATCAAACAAAGAGAACAAAAAGAGACAACAAAGACAACACACACAACAAAGAGAGAGAAATCACAGCCATGTGGCTTATCTCAACATTATGGAGGATGGAACTCCCTGCATAGCAAGTTGGCAACTCAGATAATAAGTGGTGGACACCAAAAGGCGAACTGCTAAAATGGGGAGACAGCGGGTCTATTGTGAACCCATTAGGAAAACAAACTAGATGGTTGACTACCATACAGTAGAGGCCATGCCATAATTGCCCATGGAATAGAAGACATGTCAAGAAAACAAACTAAATGGTTGACTGTCGTACAGAAGACACACCATAATTGTCAATGGAATGGAAGACATGTCAACCATAATATAGTTTGCCTTGTCTTTTCAATGCTGCAAAGTCCAACCAAGTACCAACCTTCCAAAATCAAATGCCTAAGCCAAGATTGTCCATCAGGGAAAACCAAGGCAACATACAAGCACAAAGTCCAATTTTTTATTAAAAAATCACAAAGGTTTGATGTCTTAAGGATTGCCCCGCACAAGTAGAACCTCCAAATGCCTAAACATGATTGATGCATTTGTGATACCCAATATGCAAAAATCTCAAATAACTACACAACTTAAATATAGTTGTGTTGTGCACATGTAACACGTATACAACATACTAGATATGCATACTTGACTAGTTCTTTCAAACACTGCAACCAGATCCAACAGCAGTATCTCTTCAGGTATCTACATCTACATTTAAAACAGGCCTTTTTGCCAAATTGTAAACTACAAGGCAGGTTTTTAACAAAAAAATGTGTGATTCAACTCTTACAGGAGTACTAAAACAGCAATGCTACCAATGACCTTGACCTAAACCACAAGATGCACAAAGAGGACAATAAACTTTTAGCATCAATAATAGCATCAATAAACTTTTAGCACAATTAAATAGTCAACCGAGCATGCCAATTTCCAATGTAAGTTTAACAGCATTGGCACCTTAATCCAATTGTAGACTGATGATAAGCAAAAAACCAGCCTAACTAGTCCAAGCAATCGAAACAACAGAAGTAAATCGATCTCTCTCACAGATCACAGAGAATGGTAAAATCTGTACCCAAGCTAAGGCCCTAGGCCTTTGATGGCATCGATGAGCAGGCCATAGACCTCCTTTTCCAGATCATGCCGGCGCATCTGCATGCGCATATCTGCCTCAAGCTGTCGCCTCCATTTGACCTCGGCCACACTAGCCTCTTGTGGCCCAAGCATCGCCAACCCCTTCTCCAGCGACACACCTGACATGGTCTGCCCGTTGAGCCTCCAGTACTCTCCAAGCACCTCCTTGACCATAGGAAGCTTCACGGCCCCCTCCCTATCCCCGCCAACGAATCCCTCGTCAGCGTCATCCTCGTCGGCCTCCTCAGCCACCGCGATGGCCTTCTCTTCAGGGCGCGCGAGCTCAGCGCCCCAGAGGGCCGCGCCCAGGTCGCGCAGCCGGTGCTCGTGCGCGGTGCTGGATTCGCCCGGCACGGAGTGCTGGAACTTGCTCTTGAGGCGCTTGAGCTTGTAGTACACCTTGGCCTGGTCGAGGTGCGGCGCGAGGGAGTCCTTAATGGACTCGAACAGTTCGCCCATGTCAGGGAGGCGCGGCGCGATGCCGGTGCGGTCCTTGAAGGCGACGGCGCCCGTGAGCAGCGCGACCTCGTCGGACTCGGTCCAGAGCTTCTGGACGGCGCCCGCGCTGCCACGGCCCCCGCCGGACGCCGGGGCCGCGGAGGAGGCGGCGGCGGCGGCGACCGAGGCCATGGCCGTGGCGAGCGTGGCGGAGTCCGGGAAGGAGCGCGGCTTGGGCTTGCGGTCGCTCTTGCGGGAGGGCGCGGCGGCAGAGCCGTGGTCCGCGGCGCGCTCGCGGCGGGAGCTAGGGTTAGGGTTCGGGGAGGAGCGGCGGCGGTCCCGGGAGCGGCCGCGGGACTTGGAGCGGGAGGTGCGCTTCTTGGAGCGCGGGGTGGAGGGGCGGAGGCGCGCGGCGGCTGCGGAGGCGGCTTCGTCCATGGCGTGCGGGGACGGCCGCTTGGAGGGCATCGGCGGCGTGCGGGCGAGGGCTCGGGACGCGGGCGATTCGAATTTCGGGGGCTCGGGAAATCGGAAGGAGATGGGGGGAGCCGAGGCGGAAGGGGAAGAGGAGTTCAGTGGGCAGCGGCGCAGGCTGCGCTCCGGAGTCGGGAAGGGAGCGGGGCGCGGCGTGGCGTGGCGCGCGTGTCGAGTTGCGGACTGCGAGTCGGACAAGGGTACGGTTTCTTCGTGCGTTTCGCGACTCCATCGGCACGCCCCCCGTGTCGCTCGCGCTGCCGTGCTCGCCTTCCACTTCCGGAGCCTGCGCTCCGACTCCGAGCGTAACATCACTCGCACGGCACGGTGCATCCTGCCGCTGGTGCCGGCAGCCGGCCGTTGTTTGATTGAACGCAATTGGGATGACGCACCTCCGTTCATGTCAGTCTGCAGTTTTAACGGCGTCTGCAATTTTCCCCAAATTGTACTACTAGTTGGATAACACCGGCAGCAGGCCAGGCCTGCTCTGAAGTCCACGATGACCAGATGTTGCCATGGCTCGCTACACGGTCCCTGGTGCCTGCGCTGGAGTTGCGTGACCGTGGGAATGGAGCCGTGATTGCCCGGGCGAAAATATCCTTCAGAGGTTGCCATCGCCTTTGGACTCGGAAAAAAAAATCCCAAGTCCTGAAATACTTGCATCCGTCTCCAGCCACCACCAGGCGCCCAGCACGATTGAGATCGATGGCCCATGGATGATTGATCCCATCCCGCTTATCTTATCTCGCCCGTCGCGCGCAGAGCCCCACCACCAACTACACCATAGATGTCTGCCACCGAACCGGCAGCCGGTGTGGCCTCCGACGGCTTTGACCGGCGGCGCGAGCTGCAAGCGTTCGACGACACCAAGGCGGGCGTGAAGGGGCTCGTCGACGCCGGCGTCACGGCCATCCGGGCCATCTTCCGCCACGCCCCAGACTCCCTGGAGGCGACCTCATCCCCACCGTCCACCGACGTAGCCGCCGGCACCATCCCGATCATCGACCTCGCGGCTGCAGCACCGCGGGGAGAGGTGGCCGCCCGGGTGAAGCGCGCGGCCGAGACCGTGGGGTTCTTCCAGGTGACCAACCATGGCGTGCCGCGGGAGCTCATGGCCGGCGTGCTCGCCGGGGTGAGGCGGTTCAACGAGCAGCCAGCGGAGGTGAAACGGCGCTTCTACACCAGGGACACCGCGCACAAGGTGAGGTTCAGCTCCAATTACGACCTCTTCCAGTCGGCGGCCGCCAATTGGCGCGACACCCTCTTCTGCGAGCTGGCGCCGGACCCGCCGCGGCCTGAGGAGCTGCCCGAGGCTGTAAGGTACGTGATGCTGGAGTACGGCGACGCGGCGACGAAGCTGGCGCTGTGGGTGTTGGAGCTGCTGTCGGAGTCGCTCGGGCTGGCCAGCGACCACCTGCGCGAGATGGGCTGCGCGCACAGCCTGAACGTGGCGAGCCACTACTACCCGCCGTGCCCGGAGCCGCACCTCACCCTCGGCACCAGCAGGCACGCCGACGCCACCTTCGTCACCGTCCTCCTGCAGGACGGCATGGGCGGCCTGCAGGTGCTCCTCGACCGCAGGGGCTGGGTGGACGTCCCTCCCCTGCCCGGCGCTCTGATCGTCAACATCGGCGACTTTCTTCAGGCATCCACTCTCTGCACATCGTCTGCGTCTCCATTTTGCCCGGAACTTGTACATGTAATGTAACCTGACGCCGACTGTTGTCGCACCTTGCCCGTGAGATTTTTTTTTTTATTTTTAACATTTTTTTAAACTATTTTTAATTCTAACACTATTTTCTTTCAAAAGTAACATTTTTGGACGCACCTGTTTGTATGGTGCGGTAAATTCACGCTGCCGCGTCATGTATGGTGGCGCGTCATGGGGCTGTCAACGGCCGCGGCGACCGCTGACATGGCGGGGCCGACGCGCCGTGCATCATGGCGCGTCGGTGCCGCGTCATGATGGTGGCGCGGCAAGGCTGATGCGCCCCCAGCCATGGTGCGGCGGTCAAAGCGGCAGCAAATGGAACAAGACACTTCTGTTATATTCTCACATGAGCCAAGTTATTTCGTCGTGACGGTTTAACAAATAGGTCAGCAGGAAGGTTAAGTGCACGAGACAATCAATACACAAATTCAGCAATACTAACTTGTACACGTCTCAAGTTCATCGCAAGTTCGATAATACCTCTGTTCGACATAAGTTCAGGAAGTCATAACTACGACACAAGTTCATCAATACATAAGTTCGACATTACTCGACATACTACATATTCCATCAGTATATGGGTGTCCGAGTACAGGTGCATCATGTCATCCTAAAGAACTCCTACGACCCAGGAGTATATGGGTACCGCGGACGTCGCTGCCTCTTCGGACATGAAGGCAGCACGTTAGGGGTGAACCCAACGCCGTTACGGTCTCGCTGACGGTACACCGGGCGGTACTGCTGAGTGTAACTAGGACCCTGCAATTACAATATAGGCATCGTTACTTATAATGTTTAAGTAATTGTGACGTATATGGCGAAGGGTTATTTCAAGTACCTGTTCATCGAACTGTGTAGGAAATGGTGCATCACCAAGCTAAGACATCCCAATGTCATTGTAGTCCTCGTCCTCGTCCTCGTCCTCCTCAACGTCGTGCTCCGTAGGACCCTTGCCTGTATTGTCGGGAGTATGAAAATAAGAGGTCCCAGCAGTCATCGTGTCAGAAGAACCTGCTCGTGTCGGCATAGTGCTCGAGTATAAGGAACTAAACAGGTCTGGGTCATAGGGCATCACCTACGGAGTATCCACACAGCTGAGCTTCTGTGTCAGCTTCTTGCAGCTCCTCTTCACTTTCTGCAAAAAAAGAAAATATGGATGAATGAGTCATGGGAACTATTTAACCACTGTCATGGCTTTAAGAATAAAATGTACATCGACGAAGACGTGTAGAATGTCGTGCGGCTCCCCTCTGGTCTCATAAAGTCGCACGACTGCTTCGTTGGATAGACTTGTCAACTGTGTTGCCTGCATACACAATCGAGGTAAGTTCGTATCACTACAATTCATAGGAACGCCGAAGTGCAGTTGTATTGAAATTCAAATTTCTTACCACGTATCTCTGTAGCGGGGATGTCTCCATCCTTGTCGCCTCGTCGTATGCATCAGCGGTGTCATCCTCGCCTTCGTCCTCATCAATTATCTTGTTAGTGTAGGGGGCCTGCATATGTGTGCGGGTACTCCTATGCAACTATTGGAGGTAGCGGTCGAAGTTGCGTTAGTCGTGCGGCGGTTTCTCGACGATCAGGACCCTTTGCCTATTCTCCCAGTCATGGATGTACCCCGCGTGCGTCACGGCCTAATTCTTCTCCTTGTACCTATTCCTTCGATCGTACCTACAAGTTTAATGTAAGTTATTGGTTGTATGTATGCACATGACTGCTAAATTATTATGTTATAGTCGTCGCACTCGTGCAACTTTCTGTTGGTTGTGTACAGCGGTGGTGGGCATGGCTGCAATCTTCCGAACTGCCTATACACCCTTATAGGGTAGTGCATCTCGACCACGTGAAAGAAAATTAGTGGCCCGTTAAAAAGCCACTCGTCCGACTCTTCCTCAGTGCGAGGACTCAGGTACTCCTCTAGCTCGAATCTGGACCAAGGACACCAATTCACCTGAAAGTTAGGTAACTACAGTTAGGTTTTGAGAATAATAAAAAAACAACAACACCGACTAGCAGTATCAAAGTGGCCGTTACTTGGTGTTGTGTTAGGACGTCTAGCGTGCCCGATTACTGCCTGTACCGCCGCTTCGGGTTTCCTCTAACTATCTCCGCTTCTTGCCAGACGTACAGAGCAGTCGGTCCTACGTCCATGTGATTCCATGCCTGCATTGAATAGGATAGTCAGTCACAAGTGTGGCATCAAGTTTGAGAAAAATAAGAAATCGATGCACTTACAGGTAAACCGTGAACAACAGGCCTCCCGACTGGCCATCGCTCCCAACACCAAACATGTAGTAGGTGGGAGCAACCTCCTAGGTTGGCACCTCCTGTACTGCATTGGCAGGCAACACAGAGCTGACGATAGATCCATGCTAGGCCCGCGTTGCCCCAGCTGTATGCTCCTATATTCTCCCATGGCTGGCTCAGTATATTGAGAAAGGCCCAGCTGATGGTGTTACCCGATGCGTCGGGGAATAGGAAGGCGCCTAAGAAGTGTCATAGCCACACCCTAGCATAACTCTCGATCTCCTGCTCTAGAGCGTCTGGGTGCAGCGGTGCCCAAAGTTTTCTGTTATCCAGACCGAATTGACACTAGATGTTTTCCTGAAATTTTTGAAGGACAATTGCATAAGAGCTGAGGGAACAAAAATAAACATTAAATTAGACAAAGACAATACGCATCATAAAAGTTATGTACTACACCCTCTATTGAAATAGGAAAATAATTTACAGAATATGTAGATCAACGATAGACTTAGACCATAACATATATTTGTGATATAAGAGACCAACCAAAGACTTGCATGTGCTGGTGTCAAAATGGTAAATGTTTGGAACGTAGAAATTCTTACTTTGCTCTCTTAGCATCCTCGTCCTCGGGTGGTCTTATACCATAGAACTGCTCCACCAAGTCCATCCAGTGATCGTTATCAAGGATCCCAGTCACTGGAAGACCTCCCAACCATAGACACAAAATCATCTTCACATCCTGCATCGTGATAGTCATCTCACCGCAAGGAAGGTGGAAGGTGTGGGTCTCTGGCCTCCACCTGTGGGTTTTTAATTCAATACAAGAAGTTTTTTAATTTAAACAATGAGACAAATCAATGCTTTGTACTTCACCAAACGTGTATCAAATCATACCTATCGACAGCAGCAGTGAGAAGTGCAGGGTCGAGGATCGGTAGCCCATTGTTGAAGACCTAGACGATCTCAAGGAAGCCGACATGCTGTATGTACGGACGGTATCGCTCGTCCCAGCAGTGCGGCTGGTGCGTGCGTAGTCTAAGAGGTAGCAAGTCCTCCTGAAGCTCCGACAGGTGCTTGGCTCGGTGATCCTTGTCGTAGTGCACCTCAAGAATGGGGTACTACGGATGATGATCCCCCATCCTGGTTCAAATTTCGAATGGATGTGTTAGAACAAACATTAAGAGTACTATAATATGATGGAACATTAGTGCTTAAAAACAAAGTAAATGTAAAAGGAATAAACTATTATGCAAAATGAGAGAATAAACATATATTATAATTGGTACTAACATAGTAGTTTTAAATAGGATAGCAAATAATTAATATTAATATAATAAAATGTATGCTATATGCACATGCTGCCCTTGTGAAAGGTCCTAATGGCTAAAGGGTGGTGAATAGCCTATTAAAAATTTCTACAACAAAACTTAGCAAACCAGTTAGACAAATATGAGGCGAAGCGAGTGTTGCGCTAGCCTACTAAAAATGCAAGCCACCTACCACAATTCTAGTTTATATAGTCTCTATCCAAATAATGGCTATGTCCCTACACTAAGTTAGTGTGCTCTCAAAGGCTAACTAAAGAGCCACACTAACTAAACTATAAGCTCTCATGACTAGCTACACTAAAGAACTTGACAACTAGTTTGCGGTAATGTAAAGAGAAAGTGAGAAAGATGGTTATACCGCCGAGTCGAGAAATAAACCAATCAATCATAAGAACGAATACCAATGAAGACCAATCACCTCGGAATCAAATGATGACACAATATTTTTTTATCGAGGTTCACTTGCTTGCTGGCAAGTTTGTCCTCGTTGTGGCGATTCACTCACTTGGAGGTTTATGAGCTGATTGGCATCACCCGCCAAACCCTCAATAGGGTGCCGCACAACCTACACAAGATGGGGATCACACAAGCCACGAGCAATTTACAAGAGTACATTTTGGCTCTCCGCCGGGGAAAGGTCAAGAACCCCTCACAATAACCACGATCGGAGCCGGAGACAATCACCAACCTCCAGTCGACGATTCTCACTGCTCCAAGCCATCCTGGTGGCGGCAACTACCAAGAGTAACAAGTGAATCCCGCAGCGAAACACGAACACCAAGTGTCTCTAGACGCAATCACTCAAGCAATGCACTTGGATTCTCTCCCAATCTCATAAAGATAATGAATCAATGATGGAGATCAGTGGAAGGGCGTTGGCTAAGCTCACAAGGTTGCTATGTCAATGTAAATGGCCAAGAGAGTGAGCTTAAGCCGGCCAAACGGTATTTATAGACACCCGCAAACAATTGAGCCGTTGGCTCAATTATTGGGTTGATTGCGCGTCGACCGGACGCGCAGGTTGTGTGCACCGGACGCATCGATCGCGTATACCGGACACGTCCGGTATGGCGATCGGACACGTCCGGTCGCTACCTGACCGCCACGTGTCCAATTTCAAAATGAAGTAGCCGTTGCTGCCATATTCAATCTGCGCCCGAATGCTCTATTAAGAAATGACCGGACACTGAGCCGCAGCGTCCAGTCGAGTCCAGAGAGTTCCTAGGGCCGACCAGACGTGCTGTTTAGAAACGACCGAGCGCTGAGCCACAGTGTCCGGTCGAGTCCAGAGAGCACCCAGGGCCGACCGGACACGTCCGATCACTCTGAACCATACACAGGAGACGCAGCGTCCGGTCGATTCTAGAGAGCTCCTAGAGCCGCTTTGGGTTGACCGGACGCGTTCGGTCACTCCGG